TAATATATATATATATATATATATATATAAAGTGGTCGTATTTTGTATAAAATATATTTTTATGTAAGAAATAGATTTTGTGTTATGTATATGATATTAAAAATTTAAGTCTTAAGTGGGTGCAAAATGAATTTTAAATGTTTTTATATTATAAAATTATTAAGAAATTATAAAAATTTAAATATAAATCAAAATGAAATAGAATTTAATGTGATTGAATATTATGACCACAAGACACCTCTTCAAACTTTTTTTTAGAACATAAAATATTTTTATAATACTTAATATATGTTTCTTCATGACTTCATATTTATTTAATCAAATAATTCGAGAAAATAGAATATATTTTGAAAAATTATGAAATCACTTCCGAGATGCAAATTAGTCTTTCAGTGATTGACTGGTGCAATTAAATAGTAATGTGAAACATTAGTTGCTAGTTTATAAGGTGATGAGTATAGGGGTGTATGTGTAAATATTGTATTTACACTTTTAAACCTTTAATTAATTAACGATAGATCATATCAGAAAAGCAAATGGGTGAAAATCATGATCAAAACTGCACAGGAACTGGTCAGTGCCTTGGGGCCACAGGGTGCCGACCTCTCAATTTTCCTATTTAGTTTCTAGCGCCTAAGGCGTTAGTTGGGGCCAAGTTGCTCCACCCAGGCGCTTGGGTGGAGCGCCTTGGTGCCCAAAGGCTAGCGCCTAGGTTAAACAGTGTGGAATTAAGGAGTCAAAGAATGTAATGGTTAGAAGGCAAGGCAATGACTATGTTAAATAAAAGACAAGACAAAGTTTGAGATTTAAATAAATATTGATCAAGTGCTTCGAGGGCAAATCTCTCATAATGCACCATTTGATTCTAGCTCATCATTTTGCTCCTATCTCAAATACTAAAAGAAAATGGAACGAAGATTTAGGATACGATTAGGACTATTTTGTTGTGCCTTTGCATTTTATACAAAACAAAATCCATCTCTATAATTTTTATCTGACCTTCATTCAATTATAATGGGCTTCAAGTGGAAAATTATTGCGTACGGATATGCGGTGTCTTATTCTGACCTACAGTCAGAATGTATTTCGGTGGGTCCCACATAATTTTTTTAAAAAAAAACTGAAATATATCATGACTGTAGATCACCTGATTTACTGTCAGAATCCGACACCGTATGCAGAGATACATGCAATGTCTATATGCAATAATTTCTCCTTAAGTGAGACTGATAATATTATAACTCCTCTTACTCCACGTTTACCGCGTTTGCCGAAATCCTTCTATTGTATTTTATCTGACCGTGTTTCTTGAAATCTGATTACTGTAATTCGAGTCGGCGTCCTTCTTGCCTTCCCAGGCTTATATTTACCTTATGCTCATATAAAATTAAAATTCCTTTGAATTTTTCTTCGTCGACCAACTCTGTCTACCGCCATCTTTATTAGACCTGAATTCCAGAGCAACCAAATCCGCCTCCCCCTCATGAATCCCGTGATTCCACCTCGGCCCCTCCTCCCCAATTCCCCGGCTCATTCTTCCTGCCGTTAATCAAATCTCTCTCTCCCTCTCTTTGTCTCTCTCTCTCTCGGGCTAATGGCAACAGAGGTCTGCTCGGCGAGTCCAAGAATTTCGTTCTCCCACGGTATTCCAAACGGTTCGGCTGCAGGCGGTGAAAGTCAGAGAGCGGATGGTTTCCTTCCGCTAGAACAAGGGGAGGGAGATTTCAACTTCAGCATTGGCTTCCCGATCTCGGCAGATCACTCGTCCAATGCAGATGAGCTCTTCTCCAACGGCAAAATACTCCCCTTCTTCAAGAACCCTAGCCCAGCGGACAAGAAGCTTCACGGCCCGCAGCCACGGCTGGTCCTGGACCGTCGCGGCAGTCTCCGTGAACTCATCGACTATTCTACTGGATCTAGCGACGATAGCGCTTCAACAGCCAGCGAAATCCGTGGCACCGGCCGGCGGTCGTTCTGGAGATTCGGCCGAAGCAGCAGCGTTGGTAGCGTGCTTGATCCTGGCCCGATCTTCTCTTTCTCTCTAAATCGCTGCAAATCCACCGGTTCGTTCCCCAATCCAGCTCGCCGGCAGCAGCAGGTCGCCGGGACTATGGTTGGGAACTTGAAGCTGCGGTCCAATTCGAATCAGAAGAAAACCTATTACTTCTCTGGAAGCCAAAGAGGCTCCCACGGGGGCGCGATTCGGATCAACCCCATTCTGAATGTGCCGGCGCCAATTATCACGACGGGAGGCGGCGGCGGTGGCGGAGGCGGCTCCGGTGCTTCTAGCGGCGCCATCGCAGGCATTTTCGCTTATCTCCTCTGCAATTGCGGCGGCGAAGGGAAGCGCGATGAGATCGGAGATTTTCCCACCGCGTCGCAACAGAACGGGACGGCAACCGTTAACTGTGGGCGTTAGTTTCGAAATCCTTCCGTTAAAAGATGTTGTTATCCCGTTTCCCCAAACCTGTTTTCTCTTAAATGGTCTCCATGGAATTTTAGCCTACCGGTTTGGAAAATTATTCCCACGTTCAGGATGTATGCGGTGTCCGATCTCGACCGTCCATCACAGTAGAGGTAGGGCCCACTTTCAAATTTGTTTTTTTAAAAAAAATTTCATCACCATCACCACCACCACGGTGATGAATGACCGAGATCGGACACACGGAATATTTTTTCCCGGTTCGTTGTTCCTTATCTAATGTATATGACTTTCGTTTGACACTTTATTGCCTTTTTAAGAGTATGTCTGAAATGTGATCTGCGGGTCAACCGCGGGTCAACCCGCGGCCTGTCTTTAGTGTAAAAATCTCAAACGCGGCAGACAGCGTTTTCAAAAATACGGAAACCAAGCAGTTAGACCTCATTTTCAAAAACGCCGCCGCACTTATAAACTGTCTCAAACAGATCCTAAGCATTAATATAATTTATATTGCATCCGAATTTGAGTAATGCAATAGAGAAGAAAAGTGCAAATCTTAGAGAAAATTGTGAAGAGTTCTCTCTTTTACTAGAAAATTTAGATTCAATCATTTTTTTTTAATCTAATTGTCATCAAAACTTAATTTTTAAATAAAAAAAAAGAAAGAGATGAATAGGTTGATTTGATAATATTTTTAATTGATTTTAAAATTGCGATTTTTGTTGTCCGGATTTGATGAGTTTGATTTTTCAAAAATAAAGATAAGATTTTAGAAAATCAAAGTCAGCAGCAGATGTAATGCATCGATGAAGTTTTGTTGATTCTAATGTTATTTTAATAATTGTAATGCATAGATAAAGTGTTAATTTTATCATAATATGGTATTAGATGTGAGATAACTAAATGCATAAGAATTAGATGCTCTGTATGTAAATTTTCATTTATTGTTTTATAATTGAAACATTATTTGCTGCGCTGGAGGCCGCTCAAATGACTAGATAATAGTATAGATTTTGCTTGTCTTGATCGCCCACTTTCATTGAATCGGTCGAGCCGCCACCGTAGGTCTGATTGTCTCGATCGACCACTTTCGTTGACATGATGGATTGGCTGTCTCCAGCCCAATCGGTAAATCGACCACCTTCTATCGGCTCGAATGATCAGTCACCACCGGTCTGATCATATTGATCGACCACTCCATTCGACTCGATTGGACGGCCGCGACCGGCCCAATCATCTATATCGACCACTCCAGTCGACACGATCAAACAGACGCCTCCTCGCTTATTATTTTTCAAACTAAACAAGAGTACAAAAAATGCACTCTTGTCGACTGAAGTGGAAAACGCCTTCTCGATTACAAATTTTAAAATGTACAAACTAAAGAAGAGTACAAAAAATATAAATAAAATCTCAAAATAAAAATCAAAATAAAAAAATAATTATATTGAACATTTAATTCTTCTTATCCTTTACATACAACTCAAACTACTAAAATTAAAAATAATCTAATTTTTCTGCAAAGGTTATTCTTTCTTTATTTTTTGTTGAAGTTTGTTAAAATCTTCCAATGCAGGGACTTCAACAAGTTTTCCACTTCACTGGCAACAACAGATTCCTCCCTGACTATCACCTTGCCTCCTGACCTCACAATCCTCTCGATCTCAGCCAGAACTGGAACTCTGCACCTGAAATCCCGGGTCAAATAGTTTTATTTTTCTGTACATTTAGATAAATTTATGGGAAATTTACATGCGACACACAATTCTTATGTATTTTACCTTTCCTTCCGCTTTGAGAACAGGTGGTCTGCAAGGAGGAGAAATAATGTTTCCAAAGCATCTCCAAAGCTTTAAGAACAGGTGGTATGCAAGGAGGATAAATATTGAGAAGCATAAGTATTGAAATAATACCAAAGCAAAACTAAATGAATGTCGCAGAAACAAACTTTCAAGTTTCCAAAGAACATTGATACATGTTAAAAAATGCAACCGCATCTCCAACAACATCTCCGAAGGGGCAAAACTTCCTGAGCTTTTGGGAAACCTGTTGAAGTGATAAAGTACATAAATGCAATAGTACCTCCAAAGGGATCAATCCATATGTATTTTACCTTTTCTTGAGCTTTGAGAACAGGTGGTCTGCAAGGAGGATAAATAATGTTTCCAAAGCATCTTCAAAGTTTTGAGAACAGTTGGTATGCAAGGAGGACAAAAATGAGAAGCATAAGAATTGAAGTAATACCAAAGTAAAACTAAATGAATGTCGCTGAAACAAACTTCCAGGTTTCCAATTGTGTACAGGTAGAAGTCTTCAAGATATTTACTAGATGGTTGTTTGTAAGCATTCAAAATGCAGTGTGGAAACAAACTGTTTAAGGCTTTTGTACACATTTGGGCTTCAAGATATATAAATGATTTTGGGAAAGACATTTTATTTCCTGTAATATATGCAACAACCCTTTTAATATAGAATTGATGTATTGTATTGGAAGCATATACCTACAATTTTTATTGGAAGCATATACCTAGCAGATTCATCCCAAGGACATATAGAGTTCCAAATACAAAGGCATCCCCAAGGACATGCTCATAAACAAGCAGCAGAATTCATAGTAGCAGCTAATAATATGACATTGCCAACTTTATTTTTCGTCTATGATTTACAGCATTATTAGTTTCTGCCACCTGCATCACTGTAAAAAGGTAGCATTGTAGCAGCGGAATTCTTACCCTCCCCAAGGACATGCTCATAAACAAGCCCAGCCCAACCATTGATCCAACAAAACAAACCATTACATGATTCAATGGTAGCAAGCCTGCATACTACATTCAAACAGGCATGTCAAAAGCCTTTATACAACAATTTAAAAGCTCCAATACTTTAAAAGCCTCCATATAATAATTTAAAAGACTCCATACAGCAATTTAAAAGCCTCAAAATGATGGGCAAACTAGCACTTATATGAGGCACCAAACCCCCTTAAAAATAGTAAATGATACATCCACAAAGAGATTAAAGCTGATAGTGTTAGATGTGCAAATACCCAAGGGCCAAAAGATAGCAAATTTCTTTATTAAACCATATGAAATTATCTAAGGCATCATTTTAAAATGGCTGCAAGTATTTATATTCTTAGCTTAAAATGGTTGCAAACTTGTGTTGCCTTCCAAAATTAAAAGTAAGAATAATCATATAAAACATCATTTCATATTATTATCTTAAGATGGTTGCAAACTTGTGTTTCCTTTCAAAATTAAGAGTAAAAATAATCATCTAAATGCAGATTCTGAAGCTACTGTTGTTATTGAAATTGATAATATATCCTTAGTCATTATCGATAAACAAGGATACTTGAGAGTGTTAAACTTCCACCACTCAAGAATATCAAAATGTTCATTATTGACCAAAAAAGACCCTCCTCGAGATAGACTTGTAAATCTGATTTTGATTGTTGAATAGAACCAGATGAAACAACAAAATCAAAAAATGCAAACATGCAATCAAAACTTTGTGAATTAACTAAATCACTTGGCAACTCCGAAGAAATATTGCCACTTGTAGAACTGGAACTAGCAATATTGCTTGCATACGTATTATAAATTTCTAACAGAATATCCTCAACTTGTTTAATTTTGGGGCCTGATTCAACAGGTGTATACATCTTGGAAATACTAAAATGTATGAACTTCATTTTCAAACGAGGATCCAAAACAGCTGCAACAGACATTAAGAGATTGCACTCACCCCAATATTTATCAAATTTACCTCTCATAGCAAAAGCCATGTTCCTCATATAGTCATCGGAGGAAGTCGATTCATCCAACAATAATTTATTTATATGGAAAACAGCAGGTAAAAAAATAATTGAGGTCGGGTTGGAAGAACAGAAATTATTTTTAATCACGCTAATAAAAATAATAAAATTCATTATGTGCATAAAATCACAGAAAAATCACAATTGAGGTTGTGTAAAAAGAACCTGAAATCATTTTTGTCACATTATTAAAAACTATAAGAAATTTTCTGATTTTGTCATATTTCTCCCAATCTAAATCTGAAGGCAACCAACTGAAATTGTTATCTTGATTTGCATAGTAAGCGAACACCTTCCAAAAAACAAAAGCAGATTCTAGCATTAAGAATGTAGAGTTTCATCTTGTTGGGACATCGATGCACAAACCCTTTGATGTTGATATCCCTAATTGTTTGGATATCTCATATCTCAACAAACCTATGCAACATGCAACCTTGTCGGCGACTTCTTCAGATATTTGATAAACTCTTTAATGTTATAAATGATGTCATTAATGTATCTCAAACCAACTTATATCATAATATTTAATATATGTGCACAACAACGAACATGAAGAAATATCCCTTAAAATGCAATTTCCTTCTTGTCATAAAAATTGATTGGAGCAAACTAGCAGCAACATCATTATTACTAGCGCTATCTAAAGTGATAGTAGATACATTGTCTTGTATCTTCCAATCTAACAAGCAATCACAAATGACATCACAAATGAATGTGTCAGTATGAGATGGATCCAATTCAATGAAATTAATAATTCGTTTTTGCGTCTTCCAAGACTGATCAATGTAATGAGCAGTTAGACACATATATCCGATTGTTTGATTGGAAGTCCAACAATAAGAGGTTAATGAAAACCTATGAATATCCCTAAATTTCCTTTTGAGCTTCTCTTTTTCGAACTCATAAATCTTCATGAAATCAATTTTTATCGTGTTCCTTGAAACTTTCTCATAATTTGGGTTCATGGACTTCAATAAAATGTTAAACTATGTATGTTCAACAATATTAAAAGAATACTCATGCACTATAATCAGTTTGGAGATTAACTCTCTAACCTTTTGTTGATCATAACTTTTTGGATCGTGAAAAACTGGAATCTCAACATCTGCATCAAAATCAGTTGGCATAAAATTCAACATTTTCTGTCTTTTTTCAGAAAGACCAACGACTTCCTTATTTT